CCATTAATTTTATGAAAACCTATCCGATTTTCAGTTCAAATGAATATTGTACGTTTGAGTAGCATATTGAGCATTTTCATCATGAAAAGTGGCAAATACTGTTCATCGTTAAATGTATAGTTATCAGTTTTAAAATTGTTATTCACTAAATACCAGAGTTCAATTCATGTTGGTGGCATTGTTTATGGCATCATTGCAGATGCCTGTTTGAAATTAATCCTGCACCTGATCAAATTAATTTCTTTGAAAATAAAAGTTGACTTCATTGGCTGAAATATTGATGCACTTAAACATTGTGTTAAAATGGTATTTCCAAGCGTTAAAAAATAGGTTACCAGAACTGAATGATTATAACGATCAGGAAAGACGTTTATCTAGAAAAGTGAAAGCTAAGGGGAGCCGAAGAGATCTTTACGGGCCAAAATGTGTTGACAAAGTAACAGTGAGTTAACGTTATTAGAGTGCAAATAATCAAGCAATTACTGGCAAAGACAAGATAGATCACAAGATGTAAATCACCACGAATTGCTGTACAATTTGTACACTCTACTGTTAGACTTGCACAAACTACAGCTCCCTGTCAATTGCCTTACAAATCAAAAACATTGCTGCACTTCTGCTGTATAAAAAGTGAACTAAACTCAGCACAGAAGATTAAAGCTGATATTTTGTAGTGCAAGGATACTTTTAATGATGAGGTATATGTTGCTGCAATAGCACTTAACCTTAGAAACCCAAAAGGGAATAATTAAAACTGGTGACTCTCACTCCTGAAGGTCATAGAGTTATTATTTTTCAATGCTTAAAAACTTTCCCTTTCTGTCGCTTTGACTTTCTCTCTTAAGCCTTTATTTAACACAAATTATCACCCTATGTCATTCTCCATCATGAACTCTATTTGTTTAAGTTAGATGAGTTTAAGTTATGGACTATTAGTCTATTCATTCACCAAGTTCTCAGAGTGCCTAGTTGCTATCAAGGATCAAGGAGGATATGGCTTTGTATACAGCTTGGCGCCTATTTTTTCCAGTGTGAAATAGAGACAATGATCTAGCTCTGTTAGATAATGTCTCAGATTTCATTCCAGCACAACCAGAATCCACTCAATGTCTGACAAAGGTACTGGATGCTCAGATGGTCGCACAGTTTGTTGCCATGTAGTATCAGAATGCTATCATAATAGCTGGAGATACAGTGGCCAAAGGAGCATCCAGGGTCTACCAGCCTTGCAGCAATCTATCCTTAAGATTAGTAGAATTGCTAGAACTACCATGGGGCAGGTGGGGGACATCAGTAGCTCTGTGGAGCGTGAATTACAGTCCTCTCTCACGGTCACAACACTCACCCTCTCACAAATGTTACTCCATCAACACCTTGTTGCTGTCCGTCAGCCGGCCAGCCCAGACTGCTGCCGCCTATGCCGAAACACTGCAATCCAAAACAGAGCTTTTCTGAGCCACAACTGCTAACAGGCCATCTGCACTCTCTCCCACTGAACGGCAGCAGCTTTCCAGCAACTATGCTTCAACTACTAGGGTCACACTGGACCAGTCTAAGGCATATGGAAGGCAGACACAAAGGAAATACACTCAGGTGATTAGTTGCACTAGAACAATTAGATTATTTTGCATGGAATTTGATTTGGAATGTTTTCTTTCTGGTGCTTTTAGTTTGAGTTTTGTGACAAAGAGGACACTGCAATGGTTTGTAACAGAGGGATGGTAAAATGTGTGACTGCTGTTAAGTAAGAATTAGTGTTGAGTTGACTGGTACCCAAGGTGGATGAGCCATTCACAGACAGCCTGACCAGGAAGAGATTTCATCCTCTTTTACATTGTAGTTGCCTCATGTTGAGGCTGTGCTGGCATAATAGTGAGATTGTCAGGATTCGGCAGGCAACAAGGAATCATGACACGGTCTGAAGAGGACAGGGGACTAACTGGTTCAGGTACAGAAGAGTTGCTAGAGTATAACGATAGTCTCCTTAATGACGTTTTGTATGCCAACATGGCTCTTTTCATAGATATTTCTAATCAACCTGTTCAGACATATTAGCACACACATGCAGAACTTGAACCCAGGCCTCCTGACCCAGAGCTAGGTACACTATATCGCAAAAGCCCTCTTTGCTTCTGTTTTATGGATTCTTCACTCTTACATGTGGGTTGCATGCTGAAATTATCAGCCTGGTTATCAGCATATAGCTGTTCTTACCCAATAGTTAGACTCTGAGTCTCTTATGGAAAATTAAACGCTGATGGCCCAGCAAACTCACACTGAATTTTGGCATCATGACTACTGCCACAATGAGGAGCTTTTATCTACATAAGACATAAGGAAATGAAATATTTTGCAGTTGCACATCTCTGAATATAGATGCAGCACCCTCAAAGCAATTTGGGTGCAGTCAATGATACCCTGAACCAGGGAGAAGTCCACTATACAGATGAAACTATGTTTCTGTCTGAAAGGCAATGCATTTCCCTCTCTTTCCATACTCTGCTTCAGTCACCTCCGTTATATGACAGTACTGCAAACTGCAACATATTGGAAATGTCATCTCCATCATTTATTCAAGCCTGGTAAGAGACTGAAGTGAAGACATTCATTGGCACGGTCACCATCAGAACAGTGACCATGCTATCCCCAATTCTGCTATGAGAGGTAGGGGTGCCTGCTCAATTCAGTGAGCATCTCCTTTGTGAAACGGAGAAATTACAAACACACTGTTTCTTATTATGGTTGAGGTAGAAGAAATACTTCCTGAGAGCCTGTGTGGTTAGAGCCTTCTATTGAGATCTTTTTTCTCCCCTCTCCTCCTTACTCTTCAGCAGCTCGTGCAGCCTCTGCTGAGCCTTCCTGTAATGCAGGTTGAAGGGTTGGAATGATCTACTCCTGCTCCTAACACCTATACTCCAATACAGTAGCCAAGAAGAATGGAAACTACTGTACCCATGGCTGGGAGCAAATGATCTGAGCAGGACCATTGATGTGAGAACCAAGTCCTTTACTTTTTGCTTTCATTGTGTTAAAAACTAAGAAAAAAGATCAATTTTCCGCATGTTTTATAACATGAATGTGGTTAACAATATGACAATGACCAGACAATTTTTTTTGTGACTTTGGTTCAGGGATAAATATTGGCCTAAGCACCAGAGATTACTTCTCTGTTCTTCATTGAATTAACACCTAATGATCTTTGACACTCACCTGAACTGGCAGATGGGGCCTCAATTTTATATCTCAGTCAAAGGACAACACATTTGATGACTTCGGGATCTCTGGGTGCTGTACTGACATACACCTTGGTATTTACCTGCTCCAGTCCTGTAGTGGACTCCAGTCAAGGACCTTGTGGTTCAGAGGTGAGAGTGCCATGTCTATCACTGCCTGGAGGTATCACCAACATTAAACAATGGAAGAAACCACCAAACCACTGATTCAGCAGCAGATATAACCCAGCAAACAATCTGAGAGTGGTTGCTGACACTTGCTGCTGCAGATCATTGTCTACTGTGCAAGGTCCAGGGAAGCTGTGGATGGAGAGTTGAGTTTGAAAGTGATACTGTTACCGACTAAACAGTGTTGCATGCAAAATTTGCCTACTTCCTGAGTATATTTCCAGTAGCTGCAATACCTGCTCACCCAAAATAGCATCAGGCACAATTACAACAGAAGTGTGAGTGCGTGCACACAAGTGCCACTTAGGCTTACAAACAGCTTCAGTTGCGGTGAGAATATAAACACTGCGTGAGCTAAAATCTGCAGCCAGACTTTTTTCTTAAAACTTTCTCTCGGCTTACTCCACTATTTTAAAGGAGAGTAACACACCAGCCCCCTACTTGTCCTTCCTCCAGTTAAGCAACTATTAAATCACAAGTGATGAAGTATGCATGTTATGAGGCTTTTAGGCCTTGATTTCATTGCAAACAATCCTGATGTTTTCCACGGCACATACACAGCGGGAAAGTCCAGCACAATCCCTCGCCGCATATCCAACTATGTGCACTTCTAACTCTGGATAACAATCAGGATATTCCCCCCTGCCCCTCAACACAGGAATGAAACTTGAATCTCCTTGTTCTACATCCATTCCCTACCTACATGTGCTGAGCCAGTGGTGGGACTCGCAAATGAATCCCATCAGACCTGGACTCAATTCTATTTCTTGGAATGGAATTAGACAGTAAGTCACATGGTTTGCCTGCAACAATAGGCCCTTTTGTATGAATGGCTCCTGTTCTGCAATATCCCCTTACAACGAGTTATCATCCTGATCAGGTATTTTCTAACTTCAAGATTTGTATCTGCCCAGTGAAGGAGGCAACAGTGGTTTGAAATCAGAGCTCCATGAGTCTTGGGAATGTCAATGTAGGTCCTCTATTTGCAAACTATTTGGAAAATGTCAGGTCTTAACAAGTCATCCATTTATTTTTAAAAAGCCTGTATTTCTTCAAACTTGTAATAACTCTTGTTAAGATATAAGCTGCATGATAAGTGTATGCAGCTTGTGTGATTTTATACAAAGATACAAAATTGGCTGCAAGGAAGAAAGAATTCGCCTATAACAGTAGAGATGATATTCCCCCATCGAATTTCCAGCGTGCAATCCTGTTAATACAACTATGAAAAAATACTTTTTGAAAGTAGTGTTAACTATATGTTTATTTTGCCTCAGAACTTAGATTTCATCACAAATTCTCACTCCCAGACCTTTAAACCGGTTTGATTAATGGGTTTTGATAATGTGCAGTTTTAGCCTTAAACTTTGAGTTGTGTTCGTTTCCTAAATATTCACCATCAACTTAGTTATTGTAAATGCAACCTTAAACAATATTCTCACAGGCAGGTTGAGACAAGTTATTAACGTAATACATAACATCTTATTGCAATGCAGTACAGTGTAGTGTTGATTAAGTTCCTGTCACCAATGTCAGTTCAGGCAAGATTTTTATGTATGACTTGTGATAAGTATTGTCTGATTTTATTTTCATTTCCAGTTTTAGATACATGGCTTTTGGAAAGCCCGTCATCTTATTTCTTCCCCTTTGCTTCCTGCAAAGTGTGTTGGCAGCCACTAGAGGGGAGGAGACTGCTGGTCCTTTCAATTACTACACCATTGAGATAGACGAGGGAGAGGACGTAGCCAGAGACGTGGCTAAAAGGAATGGTTTAGAGTACGTCCTACCGGTCAGTGCAACTGTTTTAAATATTGTATAACACTTAAAAGATTTTTTATTTATTTTTTTCAGTGCTATTGTGATAATTATTTGCAACAGAAGGGTATTTCATAGTTAGCAGTGCAGCCAAAGCCTCTGCTGTGAAAAGAGACATTGAAGGTGAAGAATGATACTTATACAGTTTAGGTTATTTAAACAAAAATAGCAGGTTTCAAGTGTAAGTTATTTTTGCATGTCTTAAGCTGTTTTTATTTTTAAATCAAGGTATTTCACTACTCCTCTCAAGAATTCGACCAGCATCCTGGAAATTGCAAGTTATTTAATGGAATGTGAATGCAGTTTGAAATGAATTTGTCCTTTTAAAAAAAAGATAGATGTGAAACCAGCTTGGTTAATTCCCCTGAAGATAAATGCATGATGCTGCTTTTAGTGCTTGGGGAAATGGTGACAATTATTGAAATGCAGTTCATGTTTTACATGGCCACAGCATAGAGCTCATATTCTTAATAAAATGAAACAGCTGCCTGGTATTTTTTTCTGCTTGTTATTTTGAGAAGTTGAAGTTATGAATAGGAGGAAAATAATTCATACATTTCAAGGGTTTATGCCTCTTTTATAGGTTTTTAAGTCTTTGATATGTGGATGTACAACCATGTGATCTTATTGGCCTGCAACTTGTGATTTTTTTTCCCCTTTTGTGGACTATAATTAATGAAAAAAAACATTAATTCAGTTTATGCTAATACTTAACAAAAATCTTTGAACAATTAGATATTGACTGGAGGTAAATGTTATTGATATTTCATTATTAAAATCTAAATTATTAAATTAAGTTGTCAATTTTTACCAATATAAATGCGGTTATCAAATCTCGGTATACCTGATTTTATTACTTAAGGCAAGAAATGCCACAACTAGTTAACATATTTTTGGACACAGAGAGTTCAACCTGTGTTGGTTATTTCACTGTGTCATTTCTGCCCCCAGAAGGTTAACATGCTATACAAAAATCTAGCTGCAAGCTGATAGGAATAACTCTTTGTGTTGCTAATTATCCCACTGCATAATTATTAATAATCACGAGTGGGAACAGGAAATAAGCAGACACCAAATAGTTGAGAATCCTATGATTCTGGCAGGAAGCTAGCCTGCATTAATAAAATGTGCCTGTGCCATTATCACAGTAGATAGAAGTGTTCCTTGTTAAGGATCATTTATTAACTGAGATCATCTTTTAGTTCGCCTTGGGGTAATGACTAATGTCAATGGCAAATTTCACAGTTGTCTAGAGAAATGAATTAAATTTGCAATAAAAAGCCCTTTGGCTTGTTGTACATGTTCATTTATTGGAGTAGTTGAACTAGAAGAACTGTAAGGCAACCAAGAACATCGGCTTAATTTTCCTTATGTATAATAGTGACCTTTTAGCTCTATGTTGGAACAATACATATTATGAGCTGGTGAATGGAATTTAAAGCACAATCCAGCAATGGCACCAGATGTGGAGTGCCAGAAATATGTAGTATACAGTCTTTCACTAATACATTACGTTTTTAAGGTTTTCTCTGAGGAAAAGTGTTACAGTTTTGAAGCAACAGGGTTCTTGCTCTTTACTACATGATAATGACTAGTCATTGCTTAATTTTATTAAAGTGTAATAAACATTTCAATATTTGGGTTTGTTTGTTAAGTTGAACAAATCTCTAACGTATACAGCATTTAATTGGTAATATAGAATTTAGCTGCACTAAAACTGCTGTAGTGAAAATATGGTTTATTATATCACAGTCCATTATGTTAAAATTCTTTTAAAAATTGTTTTTGAGTCTCTGTGTTAGACTAGTAGGCGTTTCCAATGCTTTCAATTGTATGGACAGTAAAAGCAGAATGTGCACTTGCTGAATAACAGCTCCAGTTTACTTAATTATTTCCAGTCCTTTTGGATCCTGGCTGAAGGATATTTAGTTTATCAATAGTTGTCGTGATTAGATCAGGATTTATAACTACATCAGCAATTTAGAATACTTAGATTTATTCAGTTAATCTACAGAATCTCTGAATGCAAGATAGTCAAAACTTACCATTTGGAAAAAGAATGGACGGTAATCTATTACCAGAAAGTGCTTATGAATGAAACATCAGTCTTTTTAACATGCATTAAACTGAGATTTGTGAATGAGGCAATGGATGAACTGCATTCAGTGCATTGACTGATATTATAATTGAAGCAAATGATGGACTTGTATCAAGATTAAATGTTTACGCAGTGCCTAGACTAGAAATTCCACGAAATGAGACTGAATGGAAGGTTCTTGATACATTGGAGTTTTAAAATTAGTGTTTTGCTTAGATCTGGAATGAAGAAAATAGCAGCTAACCAGTACAGGAACAGTAATTAATGGAAGTTTTACTAATAAGATACTATGATCGCTAATAGTTTTATGCTACACTGGAAATGTAGTTTTGTTGTTATGGTAATCATTTTAAGTGAGACTAATGATAAATAATTTTGTATACTTGAGCTATTAATCTTACTCTTAAATAAACATATTTTGCCCACTACACAACAAATAATTAGAAAAGGTTCACGTCTCAGTCTGAACAATTAGCATAAAGGTCACTAAATCCTCAAAGCATAATGATTGTCTTTTCCCCACAGTGGAATAACAGAACTCAAATTCAGCAAGGTCAAAGAGCAGATTGTGTCTAAAATTTCACACTGCCTCAGTAGGCTTTCACCAGGTGGAGAGTTTGTCTGGCTGTTCTTTTCCATGTTTTACCTTATACACTTGTCAATTACTCGCACAGTGCATGTTTTATACAAAAGTTATTTTTTAAGCAATGAAAACTAATCACTCAAAAATATAGGATAGATGAGCTCAATGAGAAAATATAGGAGTAACATTTACACTTCTGAAAAACTTGATGGGTTTCATGTCTATGAAGGATTGTATCTGAAACAATATGAGAAGTTAACATAATTGGCACTGTGCTGAACTACATCTCCAGACATTTAAAATTCACCAATCTGACTTCTACTGAGTAGCAAATTTCAATTTAATACAAGTAAGAGAGTAGATAACATGAAAGTCTTTAAAAGATAATGAGAAACTAAAATTGGAGTTTAAATAAATAAAGTTTTATATGGTCTGTGCAGTATTTATTGCATCTAAACAATCGGTACCTGTGTAGTGAAATTTATATGCAGATGTGGTGGGTATTACAAATTGCTATAGTGATTGATTTCACCCCCCCCCCCCCCCCCCCCCCCCCCATGTATGTGAATGTGGAACATTCTTTAATGTAAGGTAATCCCAAACAGCATTGAATTACCCAATTACTTTAAACAATTAGCACAGTAAAAAAACAAATTACCGTAGGGCTACAATTATTTCAATAATGGAATGCATAAAAGTACAATTCTTAACGTCAATTTGAAAGGAAAAGACATTCTAAAATGCCACACACATGTAATGTCCTGAATTAATTATCATGCAGTTATCATTGCTGAATCTTATTAGTATGGTTTAAAATTGAACATCCGATCCTTGTTATAGAATTGGCTTGTATTTTTCTCAATTCTGAGAATCATCAGAAACCATGTAGGAAAGGTGTGCCAAAAGCAAAGATATGGAACATGTTTGAGCATCGCTGCCTCTCTGTTTTGCTTTGAAATTATAATGTATAAAGTTATCTATTCTGAATTATTAATCAGTTTATAAGTATAAATAATTAACTAACTAACAAATAAAGTGACAGCCCATTAATCAGTCTGTGTATTTACATCCCAAAGAAGTCTGGGTCACAACACTAGTACCATTGAAGTCTGCCACTCTTTACTACAGCTCAACACTTAAGCATTAAAGATTTTCTTTCATGCTGGTTTGTAAAGTATCACAACTATTAAGAGCATGGAATGTCTTTTTCTCCAAAAATGAGGAAATCTCGGTTAATATTGCATTTTTTAACATTTCCCCCATTCCCAGAACAGAATTGGTGTTATGGCTTTGGCAAGGGATGACATATGTAACTTAGAGTGGGAAGTGTTGTACATTTCAGATTTTAAACTATTGAAATACATTTAAAGGCATTATTAATACAAGTATTCTTTCCACTGCTCAATGACTTCAAAGTTTTTTTTTAAATGCTTAATGTTAGATGCAATGCAGAAGAGAATGAGTTAAACTTAGCTTACATTTTATTAATTTCAGTAAAATAAAATTAGGCTATTTGCTACTGTTAACCACAAGGTTTACAGACCAGTGACTATATTAAAGGGGATTGTCCTCTTCTATTATTTTGGTATTAGTCATTTGGTCCTTTCAGGTTTTTCCTTCCCTTTGAATGTACTGTCTCTTTCAGGTCTTATAGACCCACAGATCCCACCACTTCCCTGTGCCTTATGCAAAATATGAGAGTACCCAGTCAGAAAATGGCAATGAGTTTTTCAAACAGGGTGTGCTTCACAATCTGAAGTTATTGTCACCTGGAATTTGTCCAGAAGCATTTTTCAACATAAGACACAAAATGTCATTAGAATTGTGAATCCTGTTTGTTTTCTCCCTTTTATTAGCTTATAGAACTGATAGTGTATCCCACAATTGCTATTTTTCTAACAGTACAAATTTGATCAATATTTGAATGGCCATCAAAAAAGTGGGGGATCCCAATGCGCAGTTAACTGATGATCATCTGTTTCAACTCAGCACGTAAATGTTATGCTGCCTCGTCATTACCATGAGTGTAATATTCCGTCATTTGTAAGTGTGTTGCTGAGTGGCAGCATGCCTAAGCACAGGGTGCAAGGTTTTGGGGAGTTGTCACCACTTAAAGCTCAGTAGCATTATTCAAGCCAATTTGCACCTCATCAAGGGAAGCTTCACTTTGACTGGATCATTTGTTGCAAGTGGCTACAGAAGATTGTCTGACAGGAGCAAACTGAGAAATAGTACAAGAGGGTAGACAGCATGCTGCAACCTTCTTGTTGCAGAAGGTGAATGAGAGAAGAGT